ATTCTCGCTTAGGGACTGCCTGCTTTGCAAGTGTAACCCCTTAGTTCAAATTCCAGTCCCAGCAAAAAAAAAAAGAAACTGAATTTATCAAATCCTTCCCTAAAAGAAAACTCTAGGTGCTGTTAGTTTCAAAAAAAGGAAAAGCCAGGCATAGTGGCACCTCTGTGTCCCATCTACTCTGGGAGCTAAGCCTTGGAGTCCAGCCTGGGCAACACAGATTCCATCAATGAAAAAAAGAAAAGGAAAAAAAATCCCTACTTGCTGATTATGACTGTTTACAAAGAACATCCCAGTGATCTACAGAACAATTACTAGAACTAATAAATGAATTTAAAAAGTGGCAGAAGTGGTAGGATACAAGGTTAAGATATACATAAGTCAAGTGGGTTTTTTGTTTTGCTTTTTTTTGAGGCAGAGTCTTGCCCTGTAGCCCAGGCTGGCCTCATACTTACTCTTAATCCTCCCGCCTCACCCTCCTTAGTGCTGGGATTACAGACATGAACCTCCAGGCTCAATTAAGTGTATTCTTATACGCTAGCAACAAGCAACTAGAAAGTAGCGTTAAGACAATACCATTCATGATAATATAAAATACCTAGGAATAAATCTAACAAAAAGACATCCAAGACTTTTTTGAACATTATAACACAGGTGTAGAGGTACACACCTGTAATCCTAGCAGACAGGAGGCAGAAGCAGGAGGATCAAGAGTTTGAGGCCAGCCTGGATATATAACAAGATCTGTCTCAAAACAACAAAAAATCAATCCCACCAAAAAAAGACAAAAAGGAAAAGAATACTATAAAACAGTCCTGCCCCCCCAAAAAAGTAAGAAACATAAATGATAAATAGAATATTTTTAAAGATAAACTTAAAACTTTTGTTTTTCAAAAGACACTATTAAGAAAATAAAAAACAGCATGTGCAAGGCCCTGGGTTCAATCCCAGTACCAAAAGAGAAAAGACAAAAGAAAAAAAGCAAACCATAACTGGGGAGAGATATTCAAGATTCATATCAGATGAAGGAAAGTATCCGGAACAGATTTTATTTAAAAAAAAAAAAACAAAACAATTCAATAATAATGCAACCCAATTTTTTTTTTTTGCATTTAGCATGGTACTCCTCAAAATTATATCCATTTCCTGTTTTTTTTTTTTAGCACATTAGTTGTACAGGAGGGATTCATTGTGACATTTACGAATGTGCTTGTATCTTAATTGAGTGACCCCCTCTAACAAGCATGAGGCACTGAGTTCAAACCCCAGTACCACAAAAAAAAAAAAAAAGACAGAAAGAAAGAAAGTACATCCACCATATTCACTCTTCCAATTTTGTTTTTAGTGAGTAGAATTAGGGGTGTAGTTCAGTAGCAGAGTGCTTCCTCATATGCTCAAGACCCTGGGTTCAATCCCCAGCACCAAAAATAAATAAAATTAAAAAGGGACAGCAACAAAAAAAAGGAGGGGAAGGTCAAAGGGTAAAGGATGTAAACAAGATGCTTTACTGAAAAAGATATACAAATGACCTATAAAAACATGAACAAATGCTCAACATCATTACTTGTAAATGATGAATAAAATCCACAAAATAAAACCACAGAGCAATCACTACACACCTATTAAATTAGTTGAGATTAAAAAAAGTGATCCATATATTACATGAATACAAAACATTTTGGAAAACAGGCAATTTCTTTAAAATTAAACATATTCCTCTCTTATGACTCAAAGATGGTAATCATTTTAGGTATTTAACAAGTGAAATGAAAACATCTGTCCACATAAGATTCCTACATGACTCTCCTACAGCAGCCTTACTATAATTCCCCAAATTGAAAATAACCCAAAAGTCCATCATGGTAGACAGCTAAACAAATTGAGGTATATCCATAATGGAATTCTACTCAGCAATAAAAACTATTTTTCTTCTCACAATCATTATTCTGAGTGAGAGAAATCACTTGTTTTCAATTTTTTTTGTGTGCTGGGGGTACACTGTGGCATTTACAAAAGTTCTTATAATATGCCAAATACACCATAATTGAATTCACCCTCCATCATTCCCCTTTATCCCACTTCCCCCCATTCCTGGAATAGTTTTAACAGATCTCATTTTTCCATTTACATACACAGTGTACATACACATATGTACATAGTATTTGTACCATATTCACCCTCCTACAACCTACCCCCTCCCACTGATACCAACCCCCCGCCACAGGACCTGTTCTGCCCTCCTGTTCTCCAATTTTGCTTAAAAAAAAAAAAAAAAGAAAAGATATTTTTGTTTATTTAAAATAGCTACGTAGGGAATTTCCTCGTGACATTTCCATGTATGTATGTATTATAACCTGAAATATTTTTTTAAAACAAGTACATGTTATATAAAATCTTAGAACATGAAAACCACTACACAGTGACTGGAGTAAAGGGAGGAATGGATGCAAAGGACACAAAAAAACTTTTGGGAAAGATGGAAATGTTTGTCATCTTACTTGTGGCAATGGTTTCACAAATGCATACCAAAGGTGGTTATAGTGTGTACTTTAAATAGATGCAGCCTATTGTACTGCAATCATACTTCAATAAAGGTATAACTGGGGTGGGGGCAGAGAGGTAGTGCTAGGGTTTGAACTCAGGGTCTTGCGCTTGCTAGTCCTGTGTTCTACCACTTGAGCCATTGGGCAGCCCAAGATATAAAATTTTTTAATGGGAACTGGCAGTCTTCTAGGGCTGAAACATACCATCGCAAACAAAAGGAACAATCTCTACTCAATAAAGACTTCACAGTACCATAAGGCCAGTAAGAGCCAAGTCCCATGCGACTCCTCTTAGGAAACTCTGTATTGGAATTTGCTTACTATGTGTAAGACTCAAAAAATACCCTTATCCCCTTCAATGAGTAAGCACAAACTTTTTAAAGTCATTCCAGTGACTTTATAATTTATTCTCACCAGCATGACAAGTCTCAGCTTCTATTCACAAAGATGAAAAGTTTAAGATAATTTTCAACTCTTTTCTGACCTATAAGAATTTTTAAAAGCATCTAGTTCATTCTTCTAGGTGCAAATATTTAGGTTTTATTAGAGAAGTCTTTTAACTCATCTCAGTATCCTTTGTAGTCTTCTTTAATTCTACCTATCTTAAAAGGCTGGTGTTTTCCATGATTTCATTCTCTCATCTCTCTGTCTCACTTCTTATCACTGGTTCTCAAAGTTTACAATCTTCTAGGAAGCTAGTTAAAAATAAGGATTCCCAACGATTCTGATTAGCGGATGTGAGCCCATTCATCTTATTTTTTTTTTAACAATTATCCCTAGGTGAACCAAAATACACACTGAGAAACATTGCTTTAACCACCATCCCTAGAAGATCTCATGAATATTCTCCTCTTGTAGAAGAAAATATCATTTTCCAATTACTTTTTATAGCTGATGATTCTCAATTCTTTATTTCAGGCCAATTCTTCATTTGGGGTTGAATCCATTTATGTTCATTCCAAATGTTGCTCTTCATTCAGAAATTCCCAATTCAGTGAATGACTCTGATTGCCAAAGCGAGAAACCCATAGACATCCTTGTTCCTTCCTCTCTCACTCTAATCATCATGTATATTCCCTATATATTGTACTGTATAACTCCCGATGCACAGTTACAACTACACATTCTTCATTCTTTCTTAGGTTACTATAATAGCCTTACAACCAGTTTTCCAGCTCCTTTCCAATCTTTCCTTCACAAAGCTACCAGAGTGACCTTTCCCTTCCAGGATAAAATTCCAACACCTTAGCATGCTGTAAAATCCCTTCATGATCTAGCTCTTGCCAACCCCTCTTAACAAGCTCCCTACAAACTCCCCATCCTCCATGCCAGAGATATAGAACTACTTGTTATCCCAACAACTTTTTTTTTTTTTGGGGGGAAAGAGTATTGGGATTTGAACTCAGGGCCTTACACTTGTGGCTAAGCAGGCGCTCTACCTGTTGAGCCACAACCTCCATCAACTGCTTTTACCTGTTCAAATTGTTCTCTTTTGGGAAAAATCCCTTCTCCTGGTTCATTTTATTATGCCTTGATTTTTCAAGCTTATGCTTAGGAATGACCTGCTTTGATAACCATTCCCTTCCAAATTATCACCTCCCTTCCCCAAAGACTATATTAATTTCCCATTTAAAAATATTTACTAAGCTAAGTGTGGTGGCACATGCCTGTAATCTCAACACTGGGGAGGCAGAGGCAGGAGGACCTGTAGTTACACTGGGAGTTCCAGGCCAACCTAGACCACATAGCAAGACCCTGCCTCAAAAATCCTAAAAGCAAAAAAATAAAATAAAATAAAACTTACTTGTTACACTGTATTGTGTTGATGTACTTGCCTGTCTAGCCTTTTGGACTGCTAGTTCTTTTTTGTCTGTAAGCCTAACATACTACACAGCTGGCACAAAGCTCCCATTTAAATGTTATTTGAATGACTGAATCCATCTAATAAGAGCTGCTAGTTAATGAGGGACTATTCTTTTATATTAACTATGCAAAAATTTAACACATTCAGTATACAGTAACAACAAACCAGTATTGCAGCCAAGTAGCTTGAAAATGAAAAGATTTCTTACAGCCATTTTTAATCTTCCTTTCCAAGTTCACCGATGTATTTCTGAGCACAAATCTGATGTGTGGAAAAATGCAGGACTACCACTGAGTCACACATTTCATTTGTATAATTTGGTTTTTTTCGGGTTTTTTGTTTTTGTTTTGCAAGGTAGGTTTTCCTTCTCCACACTAGGTTTGAACCTGCACTGTCCAATCCAGCAGGAGCTAGCTACAGGTGTCTATGTAAATTATTAAATAAAATGTAAAATTCAGTTCCTCCGTTGCACCAGCCACATTTCAAGTGCCCCAAAGCCACAGGTGGCTGGTGGCTATGATACTGGACAGTACAGACACAGAACATTTCCATCAGTGCTGGCGATACAATTATAGGACCTCGAAAACCTCACTTACTTCTTAGCTCCCACGATCCTGGCGCTCCTCGGCTGCTTAAGGGATGTGGGTCCGGGGGTCTAGCAAATCACAAGCACACGAGTGAATGAGTGCTAGGGACCTCTGAACCTTGACCACAAAGAGAGGAATCCCCCTGTTCCTACAAAGGGACGCTCTCCCGGGGCAACCACCTTAAACCGAAGAAGGCAAGACTTTTTAGGAAAAGTACGCCGTCGTACTTTACCTACAATGTAAAAGCAGGTGACAAGACCAGAACCTTCATCTTTCTCCATTCTCAAAGCCCTGTCCGAGACAGAGGCTCTAAAAGAGATTAAAAAAAAAAAAAAAAGACAACGGATATGGGAGGCATTGGAGATGCAAAGGAAATGGAAGCTAATGGCAATCTGGCGAGGAACTGACTCAGTCCAGAAGACGGGGATCGGGCAAAAAAAAAAAAAAAAAAGTAGGAAAAAAAAACGGGGGCTGGTGAATCTGATCTAAAAGGGTGGGGCCTACGATGGGCTCTAATAAAACCAATTCTCCGCACGGGACAAAAGGGAGAAGCCGCGTGTTCCCGGCTCCTTCGACTACCTCTAAAGCATAATGGCCACACCAAGCAACTCACGGCGGGGACTGCACCGAGTCTGGAAGACATCACTCCCTCTCCACGCCTAACAATTTCACCCAAGGGCTCCGGCCAGATCAACGCCACTTCCGCTCTCCTCGCCTCTCCCGGATGTGCACTCGGCGCCGCCTAGCCGCGCTTTGCACGTCTACTTCCGCCTAGCAGCTTCCGAGGGGGCTGCGGCGGCGGGGGTCACGTGACGAGCCCCTTCGGCTGCCTCTGAGACCCCGCCCCCAGCGCGGCGAGGGACCTGGGAGACCGTCAGGGGGAGGCCTGGAGCGAAGGGGCGGAGCTTGGAGACAGCCTGGCCTCAGAACCCCTATCCTTGTGTTCCATCCCTTTGCTTGACACCTTGTCTCCTTCCCTCCCTGACCCACCCACCCCAGAGTAGTACTGCAGATGCACATGGAGTTCAATGATTGCCCCTTTATTGATCTTAGAGAAATCACAAGATTCATTCTTGTCCCCCTTCCGCCAGGTAGAGACAGGGTGCACTGCTGAGGATGTGGGGAATTGGAGGCAGTGGCTGTGCAGGAAAACAGCCAGGAAAAGGGGCAGCTAGGTGAAGACTTGAGGGAGACAGTTTTTAATAGGGGCAATCTTTTCTCACCTAGCTTCGGGGCTCCAAAGTTACCCTGCTTTGGAATATTTTGGTAGGCTCCCTAGGAGACATGTTTGAGTAACTCTTGAAATCTTTAGACAAACTCTGTCTGGGCTTCTCCTTAGGGAAACTGTGCTTGAGTCTCTCCTTGGGGGGACTGTGACTGGTCCTCTCAGAGTGGCTGTGTTGGCTCCTCTCGGAGTGGCTGCGTTGGCTTCTCTCAGAGTGACTGTGGTGGCTTCTCTCAGAGTGACTGTGGTGGCTCCTTTCAGAGTGACTGTGGTGGTTCCTCTTAGAGTGACTGTGATGGCTCCTCTCAGAATGACTGTGTTGACTCCTGTCAGAGGGAGTGTGACGATTTCTCTCAGAGGAACTGTAAGAAGCTCTCTCAGACTGACTGCGACGGCTCCTGGCAGAGGACCTGCGCTGTCTCATCTCAGAGGGACTGCGATGGGTTCTCCCAGAGGAACTGGGCCCTCTCCTCTCATAGGGGCTGCAAGGGATTCCCTCAGAAAAGCTGCAATAGCTCTTGTCTGAGGGACTGTGACATCTCTCCAAGGGACTGCGTTGTCTCCTTCCTGAAGAACTGGTTCTTTTCCTCTCCCAGGGACTTGTTTGGCTCCTCTCAGAGGCCCTGTATCGCCTCCTCTCTGAGGGACTGCGTCTTCTTCTCTCAGAGGGACTGCGTCTGCTCCTCTCTGAGGGACTGTGAAGGGTTTGCTCAGTGGGGCTGCAGTGGATTCTGCGAGAACGATGGCGATGGCTCCTCTCAAAGAGACTGCGAAGGGTTCTCTCAGAGGGGCTGGGCTGGTGCCTCTCAGAGGAATTCGGTGGGGTTTCACTACAGAAGCTGTGCTGGTTTTGTTCCTTGTGTGTGTGTTTCTCTTTAATGTAATTTTTCAAGGTTCTGTTCAAAAGGGAACCAGGAAGAATTCCCCCTTGGGCCCGAAGTCTAACTGCTGCTTTGGGAAAGTTCTTAGAGTCTTGGCTGGAGATGTCATCTCTGTGGAAGTTTCTTCCTGCCCTTCCGCTACTGGCACTTCGAACTATGCCCAAAGGCTGCATGATTGAGGTAGTTCGGAAAGAGATACTTGTCTGAGAAACTGTGCGCTCAGGAAGTTGGAGAGGTCTACGTTGACTAGAGCTACCCCTTTTTAACTGTTGAGCTGATCTGCGTTGGTATGCCTCTCCCCACAATATGTCCTCCAGCTTAGTGGTTGCAGCTCTTGACCTTTGCTTAACTGGCCTCCTGCCTCTTTTGCTATCTCTCGGTAAGGGATAATCCCTGGCTCTTTGTTTTGGATGGTGCTTTTTGCTTGACCACAAGTTGTCTGGCTTTCTCCTGTCCTCAGGTTGCTGTCCAACAAAAGCTATAATTCTATGTGCTGTTTGGAATGCCTGCCGTAGGCCCTGAAAAACCAGCTGCATGAACTTGGGCTGGGAAGATTTCTTAGGTTGTCTTTTTAAAGAAGCAGTGCTTGTCTGATATGCTTGAATCCTCTTCCTTCTTAAAGAGGCTGGTAAATCTCTAGAGCGACTCTCTATCGTGGGTCTACTGTTTGTGTAGAGTTTTGGGCTTTGTGATCTAAGTTCCTTGGTGATTCTCTTCATTTTATATTTTGAATCAGAGGTCGTTTTGGTTCTCACTTTAGCCCATTTTTCATCCTGATTACTTTCAGAGTCACTCTCTGATAAGGTGTGGACTTGTGCAGGATCAGGAGACCGGGAAGAACCAGATTGGAAATCTCTTGTAAGAGTAGAAGTCTTGAAAGCTGGAGTATAGATTTTATCTCTCCTTCGTGATGGTGATTTAGGGCTCCTTGCTGTGACTGATCTCTCTCTTCCACGATACTTTGAGACTTTGGGTCTTTTCCCAGTTCGCAACCTAAAGCCAAGATGCAACCGAATCTCACCATGGCCTTCAGGAGTACTTACAATGTGGAGCTGGGGATAGATAAGAAGATAAGGCCCAAAAGTATCCTGTAACTTATGACAACAATTAAATCCTGAACATCGTCCACACTGTAGGCAGATGGGGTATTTTAGGACAAGGCCTGAAGCGAGAGGTGGAGGCACATTAGGGGGTATTTGACTCCTTAAGAGTTTTGCTGCTATTTTTAGCTGCAGATCTTGTAGAAGGTGCAACTGCTCTGAGACATTACTCTTGGGCCTAGAAAGATAACTTTGCTTGAGGGAATGTTGAGACTCAAAAATCCTTGCCCGTGAATCACTCTGAGAGTTTTCACTCTCCTCCATGAGAACAGGATTGTCTCTATTACAAAATATCTTGAGGGAAGACTCTGACTGTACTAAAACAGGAAGCTGACCCCCTGCACATGAGACAGGTATGTGCTGAGTGGCCTCCTGGGATATATCATTGAGCTTTGACTTTGTTTTCTTTATTCCCAGTCTAGTCCCAGAATATTGCCGTATTATGGAAGATGTGGAGCCACGTGTCCACATCCTTAAGGCCATTCTTTTCTCAAGACCAGGGCATAAAGTATGTCTCTGAATGTAGTTTTTGATCACTGAAGGCTGTGGAATAATACCTGAACCCTTCTCTAACAGGCTCTGAGAAAATTCCATCAGTTCAGCTGGAACTCCAAATAAATTCTGAACGGATTGACAGATACCTGCCGTGGCTCTTTCTGCTAAGCATGTTGGAGTACAAAGGTTCTTCTCCATAATGGTCCCCAAGACATTGCCCAGCATTAGCATACTAGAGAGATATTTCCTAGGAAGTCGTTGTCTACAGGTATGACTCTCCCAGACATTCTGTTGAATACCCAGGAAAGACTGGATAGAGCTTCTTTGAGCCTCTAATCCTGCTAGAAAGTTCTCAGGAGTTGATCTCCAGCTTTGTGGTGGATATTGAGAATGGCTCTGGAGAGAATCCTCTAATTCATCCATATGCTTCCTCTTAGTTATTTCCTTTGAGATGACATCCACTACCACAGTGTTCACTATCTTGTCACAGGGTTGATTTTGAGGGGCCAAGGGAAGGACTGTATAGGACATGGCAGGCTGCAAAATATCTATCCCAAGGTTTTTCCTATCCAAAGGTTTTGATACTTCTGACGTTCCAGAATCCCAAAAACCTCCTAATGCAGTAGTTTTAACAGAGCTTGAAATGAGTGGGATTGAAGGGCTCTGTAGGAACCTATAGAAACAATTCTCTACTTGTAACTCTTTCGGTGTTAATTCCTCAGAATCCCTATTCTGATACACCTGTCCTTGGTTCAAATCCTTAGATTCCATTACTTGAGGATGCTGTGTTTTTATCCCTAGGGATTTTATGACCTGAAGTCTTTGCTTCTGAGTCAATACTATAGGTTCCACATATGGAGGTGTTTGCTGTGAGGTAAATTCTGCAGATTTCACTTGAATATTTGGCCTTGGAGATAATTCTATATGATTTACCAATTCTTGAAGATGTGGCCTTGGGAATAAATTCAAACAATCCATTACTTCAATATCTGATTCTGTGTCAACTCCTATTGGTTCTACAACCTGAGGAATTGGTCCTGGTGCTAATTCTTCTGATTTTACCATTTGAAGCAGTGGCCCTGGAATTAGCATAGTCTTTATAATTTGAAACCCTGTCAACTCCATTGTTTCCAAAATTTGGTGTGTCGGCTCTGTGATTAATTTCTTAGATTTCACATTTTGTAACCACAGGCTTGAAGCAAACTCTGAAGGTCTCACATCTTGTAGTTTTGAAGTCATCTTAATATATTCTGCCATTTGAGGGGTTGGTCCTGGTATTGTCACAGACTTCACAACTTGAAGTGGTGGCCCAGGGGTCACTTTAACAGATTCAACAACTTTTTGGGGAGCAATTGGGATTACCCCTACTGATTGAGCAACTTGAAACTGTGTCTTTGTAGATTCTGTGAATTGTAGTGGTTTTGGACTACTACTCATAAATTTTATAATTTGATCCAGTGGTCCTGCTGGGGCTATCCCTGCATTTTTCATACTTTGATTCTGTGGCTGCGTTTGCCCAGTTGATACCGTCCCTTGCTGCCATGTCTCAGAGGAGAGCACTACAGATTCTACAGATTCTACATATCCCACAACTTGATTTGTTTGCTTTGGGGGCAACTTTAGAGATTCTTCCATTTGTAGTTTAGAAGTCAAACTTACAGATTCTGAGAGTTGTCCTAACCCTACTGCTATTCCTGAAGATCCCACATGATGCTGTGACTTTGGGGTCAATTCTGTAGGTTTCTCAGAGGGCAACACAGATTCAGGACCTTGATGGTGTAGTCTTAGTGTCATTCCTGAAGCAAAATCTGGGACATGATGTGATGACTTTGGTGTTAATACAACAGATTCTTCTCTTTGTAGTCTTTTTTCAGAGATCACCTCAACAGGTTCTATGACTTGAGGACAGGGCCTTGGAGATTTCTCTGTACATCCAGTGGCTCGACTTACTGACTTTGGGTTCATTCCACGAAATGGCTTCCCTTGCAGCTTTGCTTCACAGGT